GGACACGGTTGGCCCTTTTGGCTGCCAGGGAACACTGTTGACTCATATTCAACTTGCCATCAACCCAAACCCCCGGATCTCTCTGCGGGGCTGCTCCCCAGCCTCTTGTCCCCCAATTTGTATGAATAACCAGGATTATGCCGTCCCAGGTGGAGGATCCGGCACTTGCTCTTTTTAAGTTTCATACAGTTGGTGATTGCCCAGCTCTCTAGTCTATCCAGGTCTCTCTGTAAGGCCTCTTTACCCTCGAGGCAGTCCACAGTTCCTATTTCTTTGAAATATATTTTTTAATACCAGCCTAAATTGTGTTTCTGCCTCTATTTAGACTTCAGTGAGACTTCAAACAGGAAAACTTTTGTTTGTTTGTTTGGGGGTGGTGGTGGGGGGGAAGAGACATTAAAATGTATACTCTAGGAGGAGTTGTGGTGGCAGAATTAAGAGACAGAAAAAACTATTTTCAGCCACTAGTGCTCTCTGGCTGACTGAAGATTAGCATTCTAAGATGTTTATATCGTGCTTCCAATATTATGTTGCTCAGTTCCCTTCCATCTATACAAATAATCAGTCTTGCCTCATGGAAAAGAACATTTTCCTGGCACTGACAAATACTTTTTCTCCTTTACTGGAGGCAAACATTGTCATAGCCAAATGACATATTATAGTTTCCAGAATTATAAGATAGGAAAATAATTATGTGAGGTACAATAACAAAAGTCATACATAATTTACTTACTAGATCAAGGGCAGAGCCTCCACCCAGATATTCCATTATTATCCATAATTTTGTATCCTGCAAAACAAAAACAACAAAAAAATGTATTAAGTTTAAAAAAAAAAATTATTAAGTTAATGGGACATGCTTTAAGTTTTGGTCAGCCCTGAGTTGGTCAGGCAGTAGGACTAGATGATCGTTGTAGGTCCCTTCCAACTGAAATAGTCTATTCTATTTTAATCCCTACCAGAGAGTCATGTAGCAGAAGGAAACCTCTTGCCTTTATGCCAAGAACTGGACAAGTATTCTGAGCCTCTGAGTTCACCAGCATATTAACTCCCAAAAGCCACCCACCTAGTTGTTCTTATCACACTCCTCAGTACATTTTTCAAAAGTATCTTCTGAGACAAGAAAGAGACAGACAGGGGCCACTCAATGAAAATGGAAGAGGATAAACTTACATTCTAAAACTCTGATTATAGACATTCAGAATATCAAATAATAATTACATTACATAAAATATGTTTCCTTTCCTTAGAAAAAATGTCTTGATTTTGTTGATTATCTTTATTTGTACAGATACTCCAAAATATTTTCTTTAATAAGCCTGACTCCTGTCTAGGTTGAATGTAATTTAAAATCTATTCTTCGCATCCCTGCATTGTTTCATTTTCTTGAACAGTCATCTGTCTCTGACCTAAGGAAGAATACCAGTAAGTGTTCTCTTATGCATCTGATATATGGTATAGAATTTTGTACAACTGTGTTCAAGAAAGATGAAACAAACTAGTAATAAAGGTTATTTAAGATGACTATAGCAATTTGCTAGGTTTAGCTAGTAAAACAAAAGCTAACAAAAAAGAAAAAAATCAAGCTACTATATTCTCAAGGGAAAGCTTGATACATATTATAAGAATGTTTCACACAAGATATACAATATGCTATACTAAGAAGAGACTGGACCCAATCATGTCTTTCCACTGTTAGCAGCATCTTATTCCCAAATACACTACGAGAAGCAGTTAGTCCACCTTCTCCTTGCAGTACCAGCCTTGAAGCATGTTTTAAAGCAGGGCCATAAATCTACCATATAAATATTCAAATGAAATTGCTGCATGGAACATATGGTGGGTTTTGTTTTAGTTTTTATGATTATGAAGTTATATTATGGTTTGTTAGTTTTAACTCTATGTACCAAACATTCACAAGACTTCTAGCATAAAAACGTAGGGGTCTCTCAGAGCAAGGGGCACATAAATAGCAAAAATATTCATTTACTTTATCCTGTAAAATAGAACTTAATGTAAAAACCGCAACTTACAGCCATGGCAGGTAAGACTCTGAATACTCATCTATAAAGATGGATTAACATTTTTAGAAAAGTGATAAATGTATTGTAGAAATTAACTTTTTCTAAATCCCCTGAGGGATTAGAAAATTTTAGCTCTTAGTACTCACTTAAGCCTTTTAGTCCTTATTGTAGCTGTAGTTCCATCTGCATCTGTCCCCTCTCTGGTCTCAGAATGCACCTTCTGTAGCTAAATGCACACAGCCCTTCCCACCTCCCTCCCGTTCCACAAACTGTACTATTTTTAGGTGAGACCCTGGATTAGAGTTCCTTCATCATCTACTATCTTTAACACACAGATCCAGCTACATTTAGATACCTTTCTTCAGGAATCAACTAATATTATTTGACAAATACAGTCTTGTTAAAAACATTTTAAAAGAGCCAGAACACATTTTTTAGGGGGAAAAAGTAATTTTAAAATATAATCTATCTTAGTATCTACATACAACTTCTTGATAATGCTTACTTTCTGCAGACACCACAGACATTCCAAGAATTATAGCTCATCTTGAGAAAGTCCCTTATAGTACTGAAATACTTGTTTTGCTGCTAAGAGTTTCTCAGATTTTGCCTGTCCCTTCAAGGCTCCAGGTCCTAACAGTTCCAGAACAAGTATGCTTCTGAGAAGTGTCTTACATTAAATAATTTCATCTTCAGAAATCTTCCTAAGTTCAATCAAAATTTTTTATACATATTTTGCTTCAGCCTGATAATGTCTTTTAAAGCTGCATGAAATTCCCTGAATTTTCAAATCTTGTGTGCCTGCAAAATTTACTTTTAATTTTAATAGTAATTTAAACACAAACATGTAAACTGTATCACTACTTTTTACTTCAGTGGAAATGCCTGGGTGGGAAAGAACAAGGTAGGGGGGCGGCAGGGGAGAAATCTCGCCAAGAAGCCAATAAGAGATGCATCTTCGCTTTTCTATCATCTCGATTACCTCGTGGATTTAAAGAGCTAACAACTTGAAATAAGATACAATTTCCCAAAAGATAAATTCTCCGTAAAACTAGCTACTAAATTCTCCAGCTGAAAATTAGAAATTAGAGGTAGTAGAAAATAACTAAAAAAAATTTAAGAATATAATTTTAATTACATAGTTACACAATCACGTAAGACAATTACACAACTACAAATACAATGATATATATATAGAGAGAGTGTGTATGTATATATAATTGTGTGTATATACACACATATACACAGTTCACAGTCTTTTTAAATCATCATTTATCCTTTTCAATTCTTTTCCTGGTTTGCTCAGTCTTTGCTCCTGAAACTTTCATCATCAGCTGCTTGGGGCCACATGTCTAAATTTACAATATAAAAGCCATGGATCCAGTAAACTCAGTAATACTACATTTTAAACAAGTAAAGTATGGAAATGCAGTTAGGGGACACACACATAACTGTATCTGTATCCCAGTGTGAAGCTAAGCAATAGCAATCTATTACAATTACGGCATCTTTATATCTGTAGCCCTAGATTCAAAGTGATTTTTAATTCCCTATGGTTCCCCCTCCCCCTTGCCACAGAAATATTACTCAACTTCATGGATGTTTTGGGTTTGTTTTTTTTTCTTCATTCAAGTTTTCATCATTCATATGAAGTATCTGAACAGATGTAATTACTGTTGTAGTGAATCTTAGTATCACCTTTAACTAATTCTTGCTAGAATTTTTTTTTAGCTTTCTCATTTAAAATCTGCATACGTTGCTTAACAAGAAAATGCAAAGAAATGCTTTTGGTGAGACAGTTTTAATGAATCGCTTAGTACATATTCTACCTTAGAGCCAGTAACCTATATATACTTACTTTATGCCTTGTAACAACAGCACAAGGCAAGTAGAGCACTACTATCAATTGACTTTGGCATCACCAGAGCAACATGCCTCCTTCTTTCCTTCCTTTCCGAGCATCTCTGGCATGCTTCACACTCCCTAACACCTACTGTCACTTTTCTTTTTAAAGCTGCCCAAATTCTTTTTTTGCTTGTACTTCTCACATTCTTCTGTACATATTCTCCACTTTTCCTCTCAAACAGAACACCGAAAGCACTAAATTTTCTTCCGTAGCCTAGATTAGTAATTACATATTACACATAATCACTTATATTTTCAAGAAGATACTACGCTTATATACTGAGACTAGCAACATTCAGTGCCCCATTTTAAGATCTGAAATAAGACCAGATTTCTTCTTTTAAGCATCAGTCACAACACAGCATTGAATTTTCTTCCAAATACAGTGAAGCCATGGTGAGTCATCAATCCAAATTTAGGATTACTATTTCTGTATAAACATAGATGAGCACATTAATGAGGGTACATGGAACATTTCCTTTTTCACAGTAGGAACAAGAGGTTTTCTTCTGATGCCATGAAACATGGAAAGGAACAGCTTTGGAATCTAAAAGAAGCTCTGTTACAGAAAGGCAGAGTTTCTGTGAATCCTTTCCAAACTAGGTTGCTCTTCTTGAGGTCTGACTTCTGATTTTAACTCTAGAACCACACAAAAACCTTACAATAGCAGCTTTACCTCCAATGAAGTATTCTCCATTAAGTCACTGTTATACCATGAAAGTATTTGTAAAATAAGTGCAGTTACAGCAGGTAAAGAACTTCTAATATGTAAAAATCAAGGACTATACACCAAAAAAAAAAGGCCATCCACCAAAAAACTCCTCTAAAGTCTTAGAAGTACATTTTAACTGAAATCAGAGGAGTATAGAAGACATATACAGAAACAAGTAATCAAGATTAAAATGTTTGTTTATAAGTCCTTATGAAGTTAATAAAACATCTGAATAAACATGCAGAGGCCTATCTTTAGAGATGCTTTTTTTTTTTTAAATCATGAAGAACATACACATTTCTTAGCACTGTGATATTATACAGGAGAGACTGACCTAAAGCAATCAAGCCACAGTATGTATTGATGAAAATGTTTCTAAAACATCTTTCTTGAGGGAAGGAGAGATTGCAGAGGAAAACATAACACAGAGCTACAAAAGAGAAGGACTAGAAGGACTCGGAAGTAAGAGCAGCAAGTGACCTGTACAGCAATTTAAAATTTAACTAAAATTCTTAAATCAAGGAAGTCAACTAATGCAATTTGAAAACAGTAGTACAACAGTGAGCACGTTTGTTTTTAAGTGAAATAAAATCCCCCCACCTATTGTGAGAAAGAGAATTTCCCACCTCAAGTTTATTGTGAGAAAGGGTATTTCCCATCTTAAATTTATGGTACACAATTAGCAGCAGAATAGAGGGTATTTATAAATATGTATAAAAGACTTGTTCAGTTCTGGAGACAAGCCATCTCCAAATTCCACTTAGAATCTACATTTACAAGCACTTTAATTTCTTTCAACAGTCACAAGCTAGAAATTACATACTTGATTGAAATAACACAACTGATTTGCTAATCGAAATAAGAACCAGCTTAAGTTGATCTATATACTAAAAGTTTTACGATCACTGGATTAGTAGAAAAACCTACAGTACTGAAAAACAGAAACAGAATACCTTGGACAGAACCTCAACTAATCTGAAAAGAACAAACTAGTTCCAAAAACGATATGCATTGCATATTGTGATGTGTGATATTTTGTTTAATAAAAATTTCAGTTTAACTGGTATATATGCCAAAGTAATACGGGCCAGAGAGAGAGACTTACATTTCAACACTGGTATAAATTTAGTATTAATATTCATACTGATT